TTTTTTCTGAAACGGCAAAGAAATTTGAAAAAGTGTAAGTGGAAATAACCATTCTAGAACAAGCAAAAACTTTTATGAAGAATGCATTTTTAAAAAAAGAAAGTTAACTATAAAAAAGTTTTCTCTTGTAAAAGACCATCTGGTGACATACGGCACTTACTGCAGAGAATGAGTCAAAACTAAATGAATTTTCCTTTAATATTGCAGTTTTGTTTAATGTGTTTTATAGTTTTATTTACATATATTTTTTTTAAATTATTTTACATAAATGTCCCGAATTTCTCAACAAAAAATAAGATTAGAACACAGATTAGAATACAGTTTTTACATCCCTTAACGTGCGAAAAGTAAAATTTATGTTAAGTTTCTCCCTTGACGGACAGCAGCAGCTAGATCGTATCAACGGATGACGGATACGTGAATATCCGTCTCAAGATATATAATATGCCTTCATGTCATAGAAAAAACGTTATTATATGTTCTTTTCTTATTCAGGGCTGTGTTTAAGTATGACGGATCAAAAATCATAGCCGCCAAAACAGGAGTCAATTTTTCCGATTTTGAAAGCCAGTTTGGAGACGAAGACCGCGCCTACGGCTACCTCAGGCTCCAAACAGGAGATGAACTGTCCAAACGGGCCAAATTCGTGTTTATCACGTGGGTTGGACCCTCAGTAAGCCCCTTGAAGCGGGCCAAGATGTCCACCGATAAAGCATTAATAAAGGAAATCCTATCTGTAAGTATAACAGTCTATCCAACGCTTTCAATAAAGTCAGTACCGTCAAGTGGGGTGCCTTTGCCCAATTCTGAATTTTAAATCGTGTTTATTTCAAAAATTGTTGTATTTTCTCAAATGCGCATGGTCTATGCTATAAGTGGTAATAACGACAACACAACAATAATACGCTTTTTTGTTTATTAAACAAATATATATATATATAAAAAAAGTAAAAAACTGGATGGGCAAAGTTAGTTGCTTATATGGGGTGTCTTTGCCCTCTTCCTTATTCTTATTGATAGACCAAAGCCACCCCATTTAAAAGCATAATTACGTAAAATATGCGTCATCACCCTCAATATTATAACGAACTTCTGCATAATACTTACCTCAATATAGCGTGGTTAACTATTGCAGCCACGTAGAAGTTTGAAACGCAATAAATAGGCTTTAAAAACAGATTTGGCTTCACATGACGGATCAAAAATCATAGCCGCCAAAACAGGAGTCAATTTTTCCGATTTTGAAAGCCAGTTTGGAGACGAAGACCGCGCCTACGGCTACCTCAGGCTCCAAACAGGAGATGAACTGTCCAAACGGGCCAAATTCGTGTTTATCACGTGGGTTGGACCCTCAGTAAGTCCCTTGAAACGGGCCAAGATGTCCACCGATAAAGCATTAATAAAGGACATCCTATCTGTAAGTATAAAAGTTTCAATAAAGTCAGTACCGAAATCTGTTTTACCTTTTAATACTTTACTTAGCTAAACAGTAACCTAATTTTAAAATTAATCTGCAAGTGCCTGCCAAATCTTTTTTTTCAATAACAAAGGGCCGTCCTCTGCCGGAAACTATATTTTCTATATCTGCACCCATTCTCCTATCCCTGTGCCCTGCACTAGCTTATGTAGGTCCTTGATAGGATGGGGGAGCATAGTTCCTCCGGTTCTAGCTTAGCTTTCCCAAATAAAAAGTGTCGCTTGCGGTCCAGAGCCTTGCAATGACATATTATGTACTCCGCTGTTTCAGGATCTGCAGCAAAGACTTCCTTGATACAGATTGAGCTTGTTCAGGTAACACTTGACAGCCATGTGCGGTTTTAGAGCTAGGTCCTTGGATAAAAACCTTGCTGTGCCTGTGCCCCTGTCTCTTTCTCCAATGGACATTCTGCTTTTCCCTGATCCAGAGTTTTAGTGCACTACGGGCCATACATTTGGGTATTCCCAGTTCTGGCTCTGGACCAAGATAGAATGCCGATGATCCTTGCCTAGCTAGGTCATCGGCTTTTTCGTTGCCTTGGATGCCGCTGTGGCCTGGCACCCAGTATAATTTAATTCGGTTCCTTCGTGCCAGAGCTCCCAGTTCACCCAGGCATTCCCAGACGAGTCTCGACGATACCTTTGGGCTCATAAGCGCCCCAAATGCCGCCTGACTGTCTGAGCCTATATTGATGAGCTGACCTCCCCAAATACTCCAGCTCTTGTTCCTTCAGCGGTCTTTGACCCGTCTGTATACCAGGTTAATCCATCCTGAAGGAATGTTATATCTGTCCACATTCCTCGATCCATTTTGTTCACCTCGAATGGTTTGTGGTAATGATAAAGAGGGGTCAGTTGGTCCGATCTCGTTTGGAGTAGAGGTCCTCCGAGTGCCAAATCCTGACTTCAAATTCATTTTTTGCTTCTTGATAAATTAACTTGCTTTTTATCTACCAATCTTATTAGTAGTTAGTTTAGTATTTAGGTCGAAAACTAAATACTCCAAATCAATGGGCACCTACCTCAGCATCCTACAGGCAGAAATCTGTATACGCCATCGAAAGATGCGTATAGGAAGGTAGCAAGTCTTCTGATAGTCAAGCAGCCTTAAAAGAATGCCTAGAGAAGCTGACCAAATTAGACAAAGAAAATTCTGGGTCAGTCTACCAAGGCATAGAAAGTAGAAAGTAATCAAAAAGCAAACGATCTATCTAGAAAAGGAGCGAATACTCCACTGACTGAACAAGAACCGTTCCGCTGTCCAAGTTGAAACCAACTTAAAGTGGTGCTTACACTAGGTGCCTTCTCTGTTGAGGTTGGCGATTAATATGGCATATGACTCGCTGTCCAAAGCTTGGTGAATAAGGGTGTTTCCGTCGGTGTAGCTCCATTCTCTTATGCTACGTAGTCATGATTTCTTTTCCCTCCCTATGCGACGTTTTCCATCGATTTTTCCTTATATTATGAGCTGTAATTCTTCATATTCTGAGTGCCGCATTATGTGTCCAAGGTAGGAAGTCTTTTTCTTTTTGATTTTAATTGTGCCTGTGAGGTGTGCACGAGTTTTCATTCTGTTTAAAACTTCACAGTTTGTTGTTCTGGAGGTCCAACTTATCCTCAGCATCCGAAGATACATCCACATTTCAAACAGTGTACGTCAGTGGTATGTTTAACCAAAAATGACACATATGTCCTATCTTGACTCTATGTCATGTCCTATCTTTTCGTTGGACAAACTATAGTCATCATATAAAAAAAACTAAAAAAAATGTGCCAGTTATTTCTTATAAATGGGTTTATGCAAAATATATAAGTCTGGAAATACATTGTGACAGGGCTTAAATTCCAGCGAGATTATTGTGAATCATAATGAGACTGCAAAAAATGCTTACTTAATACAGCATACGATCGTTGCCAGATTTAAAACATAAATAAACAATAATGGAACAAATTTTTTACACTAAATAATTAATTATCTAATAGATGACATGATAAATTCCTTTCCACTGAACTAATTATGTATTTTTTGCATTCTCGCATGCTTTTAAGCTAATCTTGAAAAGCTACAATATCTCTAACAAAAATAAAGCTAATTCAGTTGAATCAAAGAACAAACTATTAAAAAATGATGCACCTTGAGGATACCTAGTAGATTTTTAAATTGCTTACTTTGCAAAACCATTCCACAGGGTGTTTTTTTACCAAAACAATAATAACATTTTGTTTTTCCTCATATAATAGACGGATGGAAACCTTGTAGAATGAGTGGGAGGGGAGAGGGGGTAACCACTGCTAGCTTAAAGATCTATTGTGTCTCCCTGCCTTCAGTTATAACCTTTGAATAACTCATCATACCTTAGACAAGGAAAGAGAGGGGACGGGTAACACGCATATTCTCCCGCTTTGATTCTCCCGTGATCGGATAGGCTAAAATTCGATCGGCGGCCATACTTTGGTGACAAGATTTCGAGGTGACACCGAGCGAATTTTTATGTTTTTTGTGACAACTGTTTTGTTTTAAATTTATAAACTGTGTTGTTTAGTATGGTGAGATGTTCAGAGTATGGCTGCAAAGGCTGAAGCGAGAAAAACGCGGCTGGAATTACATTTCACAGGTAAAAATCGATACACAACTTTTGTTATGTGGTCATAAAATGTAAATTTTTTTCATTATAGCAGTAAAAATATGTAAAATGCTTTTAATATGTCTTGTACCACATCCAAACCAAACTATTTTTAATAATTCCAAGTAGTATTTTCAATATCCTGTATTATAATTAATGTTTGAAACTATAAATATTGCTATTACTCAGACCGGATTTTACCAGTGGCGTAGGGAATTATAATCAGAGAAATACAATTTCTGCAATAAACATTTTTTTATATATTTTACATGTAAAAAAATGTATAAAGTATTGTTATCAAATATGTTAAATAATTGTAAACTATAAAAAAATGAAAAATTCTAGTGATAAAAAATCTGTATGTATAGTAATATAAAACTTAAATTTACCTGCCAAGATTTGTTGGGGGTGGACAAACTTGTGGTGGGCTACTTGTTACTACATACATATATTTTTTTAAATATTCTTTCAAAAAATTTGCTAATTTAAGTGTATAATAATAGTCTCAGTGAGTAATTAATAAAAATTTAAAAAGAAATAAAATAACACAAAGCTTCTAGAATTGTTTTATTTTTTTGTGAATAAATTCGGAAATTCTTAAAAATAAAATATTCTTATGATTGAAGGTAACAAATATTAAAAATTACATTATTCATTGAATCCGTACGCAAGTGTGAAGGGTAATGGATAGATTCATTATTATACCGTATGGTCGAAAAAAAAACGACGTCCACTTGGCTTGTAAATGACGATCGACGACATTCCCCATATAATTTTACATATAAAATGACAGCGATCTTCATTTCATAGCCATCGCTGACGCCGTCTTTTTTCGATGTCGTTTTGTATAGTTTTTATGTCATTTTATATGTAGAATTATATGGGGAATGTCATCGATCGTAATTTACAAGCCAACTGGACGTCGTTTTTTTTTCGATTAAACGGTATAATAATGAATCTAGCCAATTCTCTTCAAACTTGCTTACGGATTCAATATTCAATGAATAATGTAATTTTTAATATTCATTTGTGAAATTGTCATTTCCAAACAAACAACGTTGGACTAGTACTACAGCAAAGTAGAAGCTTCTGCGACGTCGAAGAAACGTTGTCTTGTAACCTTTTTTGCTTAAGTGATCTTTAGGTGATTCGGACAACGTAGTTACAATGTTGGACAATATAGAGTTTTCCGACGTCAGTTTCAGGACCTATTCCAACGTTATGCAAACGTCGTCTGTTTTACTAATTCCAACGTTGTTTAGATTTCCTTATTCTTACATTGGTAGGACGTCGAGTCACTACCTTTTTGCAACTGTATTGAACCATAACCTTAAATCTTAAATTTTCACTTCATTGTTCTGTTCAGTCAGACAGTTCAGTGCTGTTTTTTTTTTATAAAAAAAACTTAATTAAAATGGGACATAAGAAAGGTACATAAAAAACTAAATTTAAATATATATCGACATATATTACCGATAGTTTATCCACTCCCTCGTTTATTTAGATTATAGAGGGCGGCACAAGCTAGATTCTAGGATGACTAAATTAGGCAATCTTGCGACTAGTATACTACCTGTTAAGGCCGAACTGCGACTTTATTAGTCCAGTATGCGACTACTCGAACTACTCCATCTTAATCTCCAAAACAACAAAGTGAAAACCGCCATGTTGTTAAATAAGAAAATATTTCGTTCCTAAAATAGCAATTCCTGCTTTTTGAATCCATTAACTTGAAATATTTGACCCTAAAAAACACGCGGAAACAATTTTTTCGACTGCGAATAAATTATTTTCATTTTACTAAAAAAAAATTCAAGAAAATTTTTAAAACTTCTTTAATTTTAAGGCCCATTAGTATTTTTCAAAGTAGAAACAATACATTTATCAATAAAGTTGTTGGCGTTTAACTTTTTTGCCTTGGGTATCGAGTTACAGAGTCGGTTAAAGCGTTTCACTAATTATGATCTTCAAACATCCTCCACACTTAAATACTTTTCTTTTGTTTTCCTTCACTGCCATCTGACATATGTCTCTAACTAAATCGTAAAAATAATATTTTTACTATAATTATCCCAATTTAATATAAAACGCGACTTAGACGCCATATTAGTTTTGTATTTCTGTGAATTAGGATTTTAAACAACGTTGCAGTTTGTACTAAATTAGGCTTCTAGCCAATGTCGGTATCCAACGTCGTTTCGACCCAAAAATTATTCTCCAAACTAGTGCAGACTAGGGTTGGCACGAGGTTGTGCCGACGTTGCGCCCCGAGCGACGTTTGGTCGCGTGACACAACGTTGTCCCGACGTCCAAATGCTGCTTGGGTGATCAATTTTCATTATATATCTACCTACAAATCCTACAATGCGACCTACATTGTTTTATTTTTCTAAATAGTAAGTTAGTATTGTGTTTATTACGGTTGCAAAGCCGGAAACATCATACAAAACAAACGCCACCTGTTCAACGTCTTATTATTACCTAAAAAACGCATCCCATTATTCGAAATCGAACGCACGGCCGCAACTTAAAGGTGCGTATTCATTATCCGCACGAACGAACGAACGAACGAATGTTCGCTAGTGGTATGGACGGGGACCGCACGATAGGACCGCACGAGAAGACCGGGGGCATTTGTTGGCGAACGCCTTTGATGTACCGACTCGAAACGGATGGTCGAGCGAACGAACGAACGAACGGCCGCATGCGTTCGGTCCCCGTCTAAATATACCGCACTTTCATTCGTTCGTTCGTTCGTTCGGATAATGAATACGCACCTTAACATTACATGGATATGGACAAGCAAAAGCAGTGCGTTACCGCAGCACGGATGCACCCGATGTCTCGATCCCGCCGATGCGGTACTGTCAGTTCCGATGTTATCACAGAACTATGTAAGAAACAGTCCATGTTATTTTATATGATCAATTTTAAATAACTGTGTTTTAGAAAGATTTGTATTATGTAGCAAATTAGAAATTTGCTTGTCTGTCTTCTGTATTTGTTTCCAAATGATTTCATTTATTATTTTTTGTCATACGCTCCCAAAAACAGCTATTTTACGGACTCATTTCAGTCCGTAAAATGTTTCTTTTTCGGCCTAGGCCGTAAAGGTCGTCATGGCAACCTTTATGGACTAAAATCTAAATTGTTGATGAATTTGTGTGATTTTGTGACAAATTTGAATGACATGTCAAAATGCGATGAAATAAACAAAACTCGTTACTAAGATATGAATTTATAAACCAACTTTTTTAAACATTATAATTTCAAATATGGAAAGAATTTGCAAATATGCGTTCTAAAAAACTGTAAAGCGTATGACAAAAATAGTGTATGTAACACGTACTAAATTATGTTTTTAGGACTCATCTACTATTTCGGACTCGGCTAACGCCTCGTGCAAACAGTAATGATTCGTCCTAAAAAACATCATTTTAGGTACTAGTTACATAAATAGCTATTATTTGACTGTAAAATCATTTTGGTACATAAAATCTATTAGGCAGTGGCAATTGGCAATCTGGCAATATTGTGTACGGTTATTGTTTTAGCTAATTCGCCAGTCGTTGAGTCGCCTATCGGGAAGAAATAATGATTGAATAATAGACAGATTATTCGTTTTGCATCTACAAATAATTAAATTTATTTGCTGTTATTTGAATTTTCTTTTGTTTGAGTTTAAAGTTAAAATACGTTAGACAGTAAATTTTATATACGTAATACATACGTTTTTTTAGTTTTTTTTTCATATTTTTGATTCTGTTGCCTACCCTACTGTAAATGGTACTGCACGCCACTGGTATACACCCTTCCACGGTTGGGGTTTGGCCCTCCGAGCTTTTCCGACAGTCAAGGAGCTTTTCTTCTGCTGTGGTACCTGTGAGGTGGAGACTGGAGGATCTGTCTCCATTTTCTCCACCCCCTTAACTTTGTCTCTCCTTAGACCTGATACCGGTGTTCCGAATCTATAATAAAAGATATATCTCTCTTTCTCTATTGCCTTCTTTGATTTGAGGTCAATTCCTATTGTGAGGACCCTCCTCCCGATGGGAAACTTAGCATCCGCTTTAAAAAGATTCTAAAAAGCCACAATTTGCTTAAAAAATCGTCAAAATCGGCTCATTAGAACAAAATATATTGAAGTTTAACATGTTTATTTTAACATGTTGGTGAGTATAGAATTTCTTTTTTTTTGCAGAATTTTGCGGTAGAGCTTCAAACTGAGAATATTGCTGACTTCACCTTAGAAAATCTTGAAAATGAGTTACTCAGAGCTGGTGGCACTCACTACGGCACTGGAATGTAAAACTTACCGACGATTAATCTATCCAAAAATGATGAGTAGGCTAAAAAATAGCTAAAAACAAACAGAGAAAGACTTCTTAACTAAAATGCTACTAAATTTTTAAACGGTTTAATTACTATGTGTATTTTATTGAGACATTCATTCGTATATTATTAAGAAGTTATAGTCAAAATTTTATTTTCCAGGATTTCAACCTGTGAGTACTTTTATGTTTCTGTAATTATTATTTGTTTTAAATTTATTTTGTGTATTATATTTTATATAAATATTCTTAATGCTTGAAATGTATATGTACTTAAGAAATTGCTGCATGGTTATATTATAGTTATTTTTATTTAGGTATATGTACAGCTAGGGTGTCTCAAATTCGAATGCGACTATTGGAATATCGCAAACTAATATAATATAAAAGATTCTAAAAAGATCCAATTATGGTTCAAGTTGTGTTATTTTAGGACCAACAAAATGTCGTTTTTGAAAACTATAAACAGCCAAATATCGATCGAATTTGGAACACCTTGTATTGAAAAAGTGATGTTACAATATCGTGCCTTTGTATAAACATAATTATTTTAAAATAAACTTCTTTTATTTATACATCTTTTTTTTGAATTGTTCTTAATACACTACTATATTCAGCATATTTTTTTAAAAAACTGATGCCAACATAGAGCATCATCCTGTAATATATTTTTTTTAATAATCAGTATCAAACTAATTTAAAATAGCTAACAAAGTTAGGCAACTAATAAAACTTTAGATTTTTTTTATATACTGGCGCCATCTTTTCGTTGATATCAGAAGCATAATGCATTCATAACATAATATTGAATTTATTTAAATTAAAAGACTGTTTCTGATATTCTAAAAAATACTTAGATCTTTTTTCACTAAAATAGCTTTTTATTTTAAATCAATACAGTTTAATTGTTAAAACTGTTTTAAAGTTAAAAATATTTGAACTCTGTCTTTGAATTTTCCCATAGATGGCAGATAGTGAAAAAGTCAATGAAGAATGATGGTTTTCCGAATTTTTGTAAAATAAAAACAATAAACTCGTTTTTCGGTATAAAGCGTTAATGTTAGTTAAATTCGGTATAGTTTCAAAAAATCAGTGTGATTTTATTACCAGAAAGAAAATTGGCAGTGTATATTGGTAAATCTACTTTAGATTTTTGTTGTTAAAACACAAAAATTGATAAAGTAAAATCTATTTTAGCCTGTTTCATACTGTAAAGTCGAGGAAATACCTTTGGGAACGAATTAAATTAGATTCATAAGATGGTAATATTACTGGAACTGTGATAAGTAAGTAGTTAAAACAGTTTATTTTATAGGTTATGATATTTGGAAGGTTTTTAAAATGTTATTTTTAAAAGGCTAAATTGTATTCAGTTCGTCTTAATACCTACCTATACTCATGAAGTATAGTATAAACATATTTTCATCCTACAAAAGAATATATTACTTTTCTCTCAAGATAAACCGATAGATATTCTGTTATGGATACTATTAAGCCTTAGGCCCGGTTGTACAAACATAGCTTAAACTCGTATTTAAGTGACCTATGAAAAGCGCTGAATTCAGCAATTCTATTTTGGGATATTTTTCTTGTAGTATAATCAAAAACCCAGTATCCTAGAAAGGGCCTGGTCAATTTCAATAGTCAAATACCTACCTAATTTTTGGACTAAATTCAACGATAAGTAGTTATTCCTATGTCAGGCCTCAGAAATAGTTTACTTTCCAAGCATGATCATATTATGCATTTTTATTTAATAAGTAGTATCCAGTTATCTCTAAGTATTTATTTAATACAATTATTACATTATTACTAAAATTATTGTGATAATAACCTTACTATGATGGCTTAAGAAGGTAAGTATAAGATATTATTTACATATATTATTGTTGTTTTACTCTGTTATTATTGTTTCTGGTCTTCTATCATTAATATTTTACTCGTTTAGATTATACAGGGTACAGCAATAGTGTGTCGGGTATGTGTAGCTCCTAGAATAGAAAACCTGTTAATCTTGTTGAAGTGCAAACCTAAAGTATTACTTCAGGAAAATACTTAACTTCTATAGGGTGACCCAAAGAAGTGTGAGTAGATCGGGATGATTTTTTTTAACGAAACACCTTGTATAATATTGCATTTTGGCTTCCTTTCAGATCACTTTACATAATCCAAAGACATGAGTAAATATATTTCGATAATTTCAGATATACAGGGTGGCGCACCTCATTGGCCTCGGTGGTATTAATAAATAAATAAAATTTACATAATTTTTATTTAATTAATATGGTGTATACGGTTGCGAGTTGTTGAGGGCTGAGCCGTTCAATCTTTTGCTTCTTTTAAATAAAATTTATATATTTTTCCGCCTTTCTTAAAAAATTATTAATAATACAAGGAAACTGTCCTGAAATCAAAACTAAATTAGGTATTTACTTTAGATGGTCTGTACCATAGACAAACTAACAAAAGCAAGACTTTTCAAAGGATTGAGGAAGTCGAATTATTGTTTTTGCGCTGGCCAGTTGAGTCAGAAATCATCGCGCAGTCGCACTCGTCAAACCTAACCTAAATAAAACGAAAAACGTTTTTGCCTTGAACCATCCTTGAACGAACTGTTGAATTCCTGAATAGTGAAAAAGTCAATGAAGAATGATGGTTTTCCGAATTTTGTAAAATAAAAACAATAAACTCGTTTTTCGGTATAAAGCGTTAATGTTAGTTAAATTCGGTATAGTTTCAAAAAATCAGTGTGATTTTATTACCAGAAAGAAAATTGGCAGTGTATATTGGTAAATCTACTTTAGATTTTTGTTGTGAAAACACAAAAATTGATAAAGTAAAATCTATTTTAGCCTGTTTCATACTGTAAAGTCGAGGAAATACCTTTGGGAACGAATTAAATTAGATTCATAAGATGGTAATATTACTGGAACTGTGATAAAGTAAGTAATTAAAACAGTTTATTTTATAGGTTATGATATTTGGAAGGTTTTTATAATGTTATTTTTAAAAGGCTAAATTGTATTCAGTTCGTCTTAATACCTACCTATACTCATGAAGTATAGTATAAACATATTTTCATCCTACAAAAGAACATATTACTTTTCTCTCAAGATAAACTGATAGCAGATATTCTGTTACCGATACTCTTTTGGCCCGGTTGTACAAACATAGCTTGGTCGCTCGTATTCAAGTGACTTATGAAAAGCGCTGAATTCAGCAATTCTATTTTGGTATGTTTTTCTTGTAGTATAATCACAAACCCAGTATCCTAGAAAGGGCCTGGTCAATTTCAATAGTCAAATACCTAATTTTTGGACTAAGTTCAACGATAAGTAGTTATTCCTAAGTCAGGCCTAAGAAATAGTTTACTTTCCAAGCATGATCATATTATGCATTGTTATTTAATAAGTAGTATCCAGTTATCTCTAAGTATTTATTTAATACAATTATTACATTATTACTAAAATTATTGTGATAACCTTACTATGATGGCTTAAGAAGGTAAGTACCGTATGATCAAATAAAAACGGCGTCAGCGATGGCTATGAAATGAAGATCGCTGTCATTTTATATGTAAATTTATATGGGAAATGTCATCGACCGTCATTTCCAAGCCAACTGGACGCCGTTTTTATTCGATCGTACGGTATAAGATATTATTTACATATATTATTGTTGTTTTACTCTGTTATTATTGTTTCTGGTCTTCTATCATTAATATTTTACTCGTTTAGATTATACAGGGTACGGCAATAGTGTGTCGGGTATGTGTAGCTCTAGAATAGAAAACCTGTTAATCTTGTTGAAGTGCAAACCTAAAGTATTACTTCAAAAAAATATTTAACTTCTATAGGGTGACCCAAAGAAGTGTGAGTAGATCGGGATGATTTTTTTTAACGAAAAACACCTTGTATATTATTGCATTTTGGCTTCCTTTCAGATCACTTTACATAATCCAAAGACATGAGTAAATATATTTCCATAATTTCAGATATACAGGGTGGCGCACCTCATTCGCCTCGGTGGTATTAATAAATAAATAAAATTTACATAATTTTTATTTAATTAATATGGTGTATACGGTTGCGAGTTGTTGAGGGCTGAGCCGTTTAACCTTTTTCTTCTTTTAAATAAAATTTATATATTTTTCCGCCTTTCTTAAAAAATTATTAATAATACAAGGAAACTGTCCTGAAATCAAAACTATATTAGGTATTTACTTTAGATGGTCTGTAGTTACTTTGCTACAAATATGGAAATCGTAAATCATACAGGATGTTCAAAATTCTACGTCAAATTTTCTTAAAAAAAAATTTTCTTCGTTTTTTTTTTAAATGGAACACCCTGTATATTATTTTTTAGTAGATGGAGAAGTAAAAAATGAACATTTTTGTAATTAGAGTATTTCAAAATTTTTAAAGGCATTTGGCGCAGAATATTGAGCATCCTGTATGATTTAACAGTAACATATAGTAACAGACCATCTAAAGTAAATATGTACCTAATAATATAGTATAATACCTAATATATAGTATAGTACTAGTAATATATAGTTACTAGTAATATATAGTATAGTAGTATAGTACCTAATATACAGGGTGTTTCAAAACAAATGCGAAAAACTTTAGGGGGTGATTCCTTGTTCAAAATAAAGGGTAGTTTGCTTTATAAACGTTGGGTCAAAAGTCAACCATTAGGGAGATATCGCGGTACAAAGATGGCGGAAAAATAATGTTTTTATTTTTTATCTTGAAAACGAAAAGAGATAGACTAATGAAATTTTATGGAAGCATTACTGTTATGAAAACACTTTCAGGTAATTTTTTTACTTTTTTAAAATGAGTGGAAGGGGTTGAAATAAACTACCCCTATCATTCTTGTTAACGAAATTTAAAGAAAAATCTTATCAAACACATGCAAATGCTTTAATTTGGATAGTTTAGTTTGTTTAGAAACTTTTTTACCTCTTGTGTTTTTTTGATGAAACTCACCGATTGGAAATTAAAAAATAAAATGTAAAGCATTACATGTTAAGACAAAAAACATTTTTAGATTAGGAATCTAGTGATAATAACGATAATAATAATCATCTAGATAATAACGTATTGCAGTAGAGTAATGTCAAATAAAATAATATTAGGAACATCCTAAAAAGTAACAGCGGCCGACTAGATTTTTTCCTAAAAAAATTACAGCAGCCCACTAGATTCTTTATCAGAAAATGTTTTTTGTCCTGACATGTAATGCTTTACATTTTATTTTTTAATTTCAAATCGGTGAGTTTTATCAAAAAAACACAAGAGATAAAAAAGTTTCTAAACAAACTAAACTATCCAAATTAATTTTTTTGCATGTGTCTGATAAGATTTTTCTTTAAATTTCGTTAACAAGAATGATAGGGGTAGTTTATTTCAACCCCTTCCACTCATTTTAAAAAGTGAAAAAATTACCAGAAAGTGTGTTTTCATAACAGTAATGCTTCCATAAAATTTTATTAGTCTATCTCTTTTCGTTTTCAAGATAAAAAATAAAAACATTATTTTTCCGCCATCTTTGTACCGCAATATCTC